CAAGTCCTGGGAGCCTACTCTGCTTGGAGCTGTTTAGAAATCCACAGCTAACCCAGGAAAGGAGAAGGGAGAAGAATTCAGAAAAAGAAAGGGAGAGAACAGACAGGAGAGTGGGCAAGAGAGAAGGGAGGAGAGATACTGGGTTGTCCATGAGGGCTGCTCAGAGGAGGAGACACTGTGGGGGTCCCAGCCACTCCAGTTAGGTTTTCAACTTGCAAGGGTGGCAGAACACCACTCGTCTGTCAGGTGGGTGATATGTTTCTATGATCCTGGAAGCTATGCCACAAGCATTTCAAATACTAACAGGGTCACTCATGGTGGACAAATTCAGCTGAGCATTCAGACTAAAACACAGGGAAGCAAGGCCTGGCAATGTACTTCCAAAATACAGCCAGCCAATAAAAACTCTATGGATTACAACAGAACATTGTCTGGTAAAGGGCTGGAAGATGAATTCACTAGGTTGGAAGACACTCAAAATATCTAGAGGCTGCAACAATGTCTTAAGTATACCATGGATTGTGTAGATGGTGCTAGACTGGGCAACATTTCCTTCCATTGTAACATGAGTTGGTGACAACTCCACAGCAAGTAACAATAACAACAACAAAGGGTAGCAGAACACCAGGGAGTAAAATCCACTAAACAGTGGTAACTTTTGTAATTGATAGCTGCCCTGCATTCTTGTGAGGGTCCTTTAAAGTGTGGGACCTGTGCTTTGCCAACAACATGAGGGTCTGCCATGTGAGCTTGGAGCTGAGTTCTTGTGCACAGAGAGGGAAAAGGACATTGAAATGGCCAGGGCACCTGTCGGAGGGAGGAGGCAATGAGTTCTGGTACTTCATCAGAGGGGTGAGGCAGAACAAAGAATTCTTGCCAGCTACACAATGGAGAAGGTAGTGGGAGGGTTTTTACTGTGAGATGTGCAATGCAACCTTCACCTTCAACTACTCTACGCCATCTCCAGAAAAATCAACATTGTTCCTTAGTGCTTGTGAATAGGAGAGATCTGCCACCCTACCAAGAGGGGCAGCAGGTCAATACAGAGACTACACTCATAGATAGTAGAGCCACAACACTGGGGACGGGAAGTATCTGGGTTCCACAGTGGGGTCCTCCAGGATGGTTATACCCAAGCTGTGGGGGTCCATATGCTTCTTAAATTCAAGCCCTGCCCCAGAACCAGACTTGCCTCTCATGTTATTGTTGTTATTTGCCATGGAGTCAGACCTGACTCATAGCGACCCCTCCTTGCGTTGCCAAGGCAGTATCACTAAGGAAGTAGATTGCCCAACCTTCCTTCCGAGGAGTGGCTGGTGGGTTTGAACCACCAGCTTTCTGGTTAGCAGTCAAGTGCCTTAGGCACTACACCACCAGAGCTCCTATGAGTGCCAAATGTGGACTGGCCTGCTGGGCCATTAGATCCTGAAATGCCTGCCCAAGGTCACAGCAAGCTATTTGACTTCTCTGGGTTCTGCATTCAGCGTTTGGGCTGGAGGCACTATTAGCACTAGGATAATTCTGATGGAAGCTGGGTATACACAGAATCACTGGCATGTACTAGAGAAGGTCCCAGGAAGCCACCCATGTGGAAGCAGACAAACTGAAAAACCAAATCCACTGGCTTTGAATCAATTCTGACTTATAGTGACACTATAGGACAGGGTAGAACCGCCCCATAGGGTTTCCAAAGCTGTAAGTCTTTGTGGGAGCAGACTGCCACATCTTTCTCCTGTGGAGTAGCTGTTGGATTTGAAATGCTGAACTTTTGGTTAGCAGCCGAACACTTTAACCACTGTGCCACCAACCCTCTAGGAAGCAGACAAGAGACTAGTGTTTAAGGCAGCTGGATAGACTGTGTCCTAAAGTCTTGGGGTTTTTCCTGGGAGGGAGCTAAGTCCATGAGTGGTGCGTGGGCTATTCAGGGGCCCTGCCTGGCCTCATCTGTAAAGATAAGCTCCCTGGAGACTAGACTTTGTCTTGGGCTGTTGGCGGGGGGTGAGGGGGTGGGGGGGGTGGCTACTTGCTACTAGACACCGAAGGCACTGTCAGAATTTCTGAAGCCAAGGTCAAGAGAGGAGAAGGACTATGTGGCTGCTCTGGAACTCTGGACAGGATGGGCCTTGGAGGCAGGGCTGGGAGAGAGGTAAGGAGAAAGTCTACAGATCCCTTCAACTTGTGAACTTATACCTGTTCTCCAGGTCACAAAGGCCCATTTGGTTCTGAGTGCCTGACAACACAAGGCATCATTCCAGCCTTCTCACCATACATCAACATGAAGAAGGCTCCACCTTGGGTCCATGAAAAGAAAAAACCCACAGTCCTCCTGTGGCCATGGGGAGGGCAGGCAGTTTTTGGAGGCTATGATCATAAATAAAACCCTCTAGAAATTAAAGTCAGGAAGAGGGAGAGGAGTAGGGGATGTAAGTCCCTCCAGTTCTAGGCAGAGGTTTGCTGGGTGCCCAAGTGCCTGCACTATACAGTTCAGAGACCCAGACGGAGGGGTTGGTGTGGTGCAATGCCTGCTGAAGGAAGCCCATTTCTCAGGGTTGAGGTCCTGGGGCTCAGGGAAGAAGCAGCCCTCTTTCTGGATGTCCCTAAAATTAAACCCTACAGTAGCTGGGTTACAGGCACTAAGGACTGCAACTGGTTTCTCAAGCTAGTGCGGGGACAGTCACCCAGAGGGACAGTATGATCCCCACCCCTCACATCTATATGAAAAGGCATCTGAGACAAGGGAGAGTAGAGGCGAAGGACAAGGTTGGAGACCACCTTTAGTACTGTCCTCCTCACTCATGCCTTAGCGAAAGAATATTTCAGAGCCTACAAATATTCTAGGGGAAATATAAAAGACAAATGTTCACTGTAAATAACTCCTATGAAGACAAAAAAGATGGAAAACAACAATGTTGGCAAGGATGTAGAGAAACTGAAATTCTTAATCTCTTACTGGTGGGAATGCAAAATGGCACAGCTGCCGTGGTAAAATAGTTTGGAGATTCCTCAAAAAGTTAAACATAGAACTACTATATGACCCGGCAATTTCACTCCTAGGTATGTACCCAAGAGACTTGCAAGCAGCAACACAAATAGACACATGTATACCAATGTTCATTTCAACACTATCCACAATAGTCAAAATGTAAAAGCAACCTAAATGTCCACTAACAGATAATGTATAAACAAAATGTGGTATATACATGCAGTGGAATAGCAGCCATAAAGAGAAATAAAGTCCTGATACATGCTACACCATGGATAAATCTTGAAAACATTATACTGAGTGAAATAAGCCAACCATAAAAGAACAGACATTATACGATCTCATTTATATGAAATATCTAGACTAGGCAAAGATATAGAGACCAAAGTTTAGTGGTTACCAGGGGCATGAGAGTAGGGAAAACAAAGAGTCATTGTTTAATTGTACACATACTAAATGATGAATTGGCAAATGTCGTGTTATAAATATCTTTGCAACAACAACAAAAAGTTCATGGTAACCCACCTTCACCAGCACTCTTCCCTTCCTGTGTGAGGCTAATGAGGTGAATGCTTAGAGTAGAAGCTGGGGCCATGCATATGAGAGGGTAGAGGAACTTGAAAGAACCAGAAGCACTACTGAAGGAGGAGACGGGGCAGAAGGCATGCGTCCATGTCTGGTGGAAGGGAGAGAAAAGTTGCCAGCTGGCTTTTTGACAGAAGGGGCCTGGGAAGATTTTTTCTATTTGCTGTGGGGTGTGTGCTGTAAAGCCCTCTCTCTAACAAATCTTTGGTCAGGTCTACATTGTTCACTGGAGCATCTATGTGGGTGGTTCAAGGCAGAGAATGGGACACACATGGACCCAGCATGAGGGACAGTGGGGGAGGAGGAGAGGGTATGGATATCACAGTCACACTTAAAATAGCCAGATAGTAACTTCTGAGCTAAATGAAACAGTATTTCCTTTCAGTCTCTATGCAGATACACTTCAGCATGGTGGGGTTAAGGAAAGTTACTGGGCAGCACTCCATTGTTCGCAGGCCTGAGAGTACTGCCCTTTATGCTTGGGTGCCTTAGCCTAGAAATGGGAGGAATCTGGAGTAGCAAAAATATAGGTTCAAGAATAAAAACCACATCAATTTCAAGCTGACCCCAGAGTCCTACTCTCCATGCAGTCCAGTGGCCATTGTATTCAGGTTAACAAATGTGGAAAGCTTGGCCTGGGACGGTAAGGGCCTCTGAAGCCCACCCTTTCGCACAAAGGCAGTCACAGGATATGCTGGCCCAAGACAAGCTCTCCCTGGAAGAGCATGCTGAAGACATATTGATGTCAGAAGTATAAACACAATCACACCAAGACCCACATCTTGCCATGGAAGGCTCTAGCAGATTCTAGTGGATTCCGGGGCAATGTGCCTGCCTCCTGCTCAGGGTCATGAGTTGTGGGGTAGTGGGTGTGACTCAGACCTGCCACTGTCAGAAGCCCATGCTCCTGATACCTAGACCTGTGCAAGCCCCTCCTTATGCCCAGGGCTTGTCTTTCCTTGTAGCAGCTGCTCTGCTGTAAGCAACTGATGGAGCTGGACACATGAGCCTAGAGGTCAGGCACTCATGCCACACACAGCCCCCATTGCCTGGTGCCCAGCACTCATACCCACAAGCAGTCAGCCTGGTGCCCTCACAGGGACAGGTGTCTTCATTCTCAATAACCCAGCAAAGGCCAAAGCAGCTCTATCTCCTGCCCAAGTACAGAGCCAAGGGCGGAGCCAGGGAAGCCCAGAGTCCTCACTTCTGTGGCCTGGGGCCTAGGGAATAGTGACTGAGATGCAGGCTCCCACCTCAATGACCCAGAATGGTTGCCCCCAGGCCAGCATCTACTGAAGGCCTTTGGGAGCCAGGGGTTTCCAAATGCATGAACTGGAGAGTTTTCTTGCATGGGTCATGGACCAAAGGGCTACCTGGGGAGGGAATGGGGTTATGAGGGGTAAGACCTCAGAGCCTGAGTCCAGGCACCTACCTTGATCTTCGCAGAGCTTCTTCGTCCGGGTCTCGCACTGCAGATAGAAAGAAGCTTGGAGTCAGAGGGAATCATAGGGAGCATAAGAAAGAAAACCTTCTGGAGCTCTAGGGGCACACTGAGTACCCAAGGTACAGTTTGTGCACCTCCTCCCTGTAAACTGTGGAAGGAAAGGGAAGGGAAGGGACCCATATGCTGGGTGGAAGATAAAGGGGAGAACAGAGACATCAGAGGAACTGGTGCAGTGGGGAGGGAACAGTCTGAGGCACGGCCTGTGAAGTCCTCTTATCCCAGCCCAGAGCTGTCACTGCACTTGGAAGCAGCATAGAAAGACTGCCCCCAATGGAAGCCAAAAAGAAGGTGATATCATTGGACAGCTTGCCCCTAGGGGTGCTGAAGGGGCCCAGAGGAGCCCTGTAGGTCGTTAACCATCCATCAAGGCCACCAATATCTTTAGGGGCTGAAGACTTGGCTCCTGACTTCTGCAGACTGTGGAGTAGGGTCCAGGAACCCTAAAGGACCCTCTGCATCTCCTGCTCTATCTTTACCCCATGGCCTTCACTTACTGTACTCTGTCCCTGTCATCTGGGCCAGGATGCGGAAAGAGCGAGACTGCAGGTTAGAGGAGCGGCGGGCCCACTCATCTGCCTCCTCTTCTGGCTTGTTCTGGTTCTTAATCACAGCCTGGTACACAGGAGAGGCACTGTCCACAGCCAGGTCTTTAACAGGAAGGCTCCTGCGATGCAGAAAGAAGCCATCGGAAGGGGCTAGCCTCGAACCGACTCATTGGCCTGACTCTTATGGTCTCTTCCCACTATGCCCTTTTCCCACTGCTCTCTGAGAAACTGAGATGGCTTGCCTGGGTCCTCAGTGCTCTAGGTGGTCACAGTAAGTGAATCTTCCTGCTCATGAGGCTCAGGAGGCTGAGACCCTTCTTGTCTCCCCACCCCATGCTAACTCCAGGCACAGGACTAAAACTGGGGTCCAGAAAGTTCAGCTGACTAGCTCCAGCTTACAGTTAGTTATAGAGGCTCTGTAGGAAGCCTTGAACCCAGGCTTCCTGGCCCCCAGCCCAATGTTCTTTCCACCACACCCCCCTTAGTCATGAGGGCTTAGGAAGGCCATTTCTACCTACCAGGGCCTCACATAGATCTGGAGGCATGCCTCTGCTCAGATACTCAGCCTGCCTAGTACCTCTGCCTGCCTCAATGTCTGCCCCTCCCTAAGGGCTGGCTCGCTGGGAAAGCGTTCTTTCCAGTGTCCATGTCCTCTACTCTTTCTCCAAGGAGCTGGACAGAAGAATTGGCCCGGTCTCCCACAGTACTAGGTTCTTAGGATTAAGTTCCTGTGCCTGGCTTAGGGTGAGCCATGAGAGCAGAAGTGGAGAAAGATCATAGTTGAGCTGAGTTGTCCATACTTCCCTGAAGGCTCTGCCCAGGTCCAGAGAACTACAGGTACTAGCAAACAGAGGAGAACAGCAGATCCTTCTGGGGTCCAGCCAGGGAGGGGCCTGAGACTGCCCAAGGGACACAAGGAGAGCATGGGATTTCTCTCAGGAAGCCATTTCTGGGATAGAGAGCAATCTCAAGGGTTTCCAAAGCAGAGGCTGGGCCTGCTGAAGGTCTTTGGGTGAGAAGGGCAATAGGAAGGGATACCAATATAACAACTCCTGATTCCTGGCTCGCTAGGAGTTGAGGGAGAGAGGAAGTATGGGTTGTGCCACAGGATAGTGAAAGTGTGGATCCTAGTACAAGCCCTGACCTTGAGCCTGACCACATAGAGCTTTGAGGTCCAGAAACAATAATAATAATAATAGATGGAATATGTTTGCTGCCATTTTCCTGGAATGTGCCCATGAGGAGCTCCAAGAGCAAGAAGGTGGCCAGAAGGGAGCCCCTAGGGATTCTATATGATTGATTTTTGCTTCCCACAGCACTGGACAGACACCAGTTGCTGTGACAGAGACTGCAGTCAGATAAAGGAACTGCTATGCTCAGGAAGAATAAATACACAGAGAGGATGAAATTGGCCCTGCATCCTGTGAGGGTTAGAGGCCTCAGTCTGGAGCCGTTTCCAGTCTGCTCTCCAAGTCACAGGAAACACTCCACAGTCTCCGTCAATGTCCCCTCCATGCTCTGCCCTCTCATCTGACTCATCTTTCATTTACCATGGGTGGTCCTGGTGGATGCTTTGAGTATCCAGGGGAGTAACCTCCAACGGGCCCCCTTGCCATCCTCTGTCCCTGAAGAGGCACCCAGTATGGATTCTGACATCCAGGTCTATATTTTCTTGTTGCAGATAGGAAAGGTTAGAGGGAACTTCCCCAAAGCATAGCAAGGAGTCCACATGATACAACCCCAGCCTTGGCTGGGGTAGGGCAGTGTGAATGTCATTACTCTGTGATTTCTGTGGCTGTAGAAACATTATTTGAGGCCAACCCCAAAAGACAAATCCTTGCCTGTACAGGCTGTTGTTGTTGTTGTTGTTGTTATATGCCATTGAGTCAGACCCTACTCATAGCGACCTCTCCTTGGGTTTCTGAGGCAGTATCACTATGGAAGTAGATTGCCCAACCTTCCTTTCGAGGAGTGGCTGGTGGGTTTGAACCGCAAGCCTTCTGGTATAGGCTGCAGGGGAGGTCATTTGGCTGTGAGGTCGGTGTGAGGAAGAATGTGTACAGAGCCATTGATCACTGATCTTCATACATATCCCACCAAACCCACACAACATCCCACAAAAAGAGAGCAGACAATGGGACAGATACCGTGGGGTCTACTTACGCCAGTGGTGAAGCCCTGTCAAGCAGAGGAAAACCCAGCAATGAGTGCATATCCATCATGGGAGAGCAGAGGGGTGGCATGCACACAAGAGAGCAGGGTGAGTATCAGGAATAAGTTTATAGAAATGAGGGGGGATAAAGGAGGAAGAGAGAGAGACAAAAAGAAACTGGTCAGTGAGGAAGGAACTGAGGATATTAACAGTAGAAGCGGAAGCAGCTCTTCTTACCCACCAGTACCTTGTGGCTGAGTTAAAAAGGGAAAGGCTGTTGCCTTCCAAGCACAAGAGGGAAGTGAAAGGGTAGGGAAGGAAGAGGAGAAGAGGGGGATGGAAGCCTGGATTAGAACAATGGTGCTTTGTGTTCCAAAAATTAGTGGTGCCCTATTGGTGAGTCAGGTCTGACTCAACAACACATAACAACAAGTGGTGAAACCAGGTGACAGCAGTCTTTTCTCAAGGTGCAGACAAACAAAATTAGTTAAAAGGACTTCCATTGCTTTCCACTGAATTTCCCTCTGGTGACTGCTACCACTTTTGAGAGCACACCAAGGACACAAGTGACGGACAAATGTTAATAGAAAATCCCGTTAGCCCTTGGGCTTAGCCAGGCAGCCTTGTTCTTCTGAGTGCATATGAGTTAATGATTGTGTCTTTAAACATGCATGGTCATATTTTCTGCTTTGAATGACAGAATTAAAGAAATCAACATCTGATGTTCCTCAAAGAGCTGTAGCCTAGAGCCAGGTTTGAGACCCACAGCTCCAGGGCAAGCAATCACTGCCCTCTGGTGGCTCAAATAAAGAACTGCATCTCTGACAGTGGGTTCCAGCACCCCAGGACCAGGAAAGCCTTGGAAATCGACACAAAAGCTCCATCCTTTGGCCTCACTGGAGCCTGACCCCTATAATATGCACCCACATCATGGCCACAGGGATTGGGTTCTGGAAAAGCCAAGAATTACGGGAGTTCTCTGGGCCTTTTTAACTGCTTCATTGCTCTTATAACACAGGTTTCTCCTAACTTCAGAAAAAAAGCACAACCATCATTTTAAAACTTCTTGCCTTGAGGTGGGATTACTGACCCAGGGAAACGATGTTGCCCCAAGAAATAATCAGCCTGTTCTGAAAGTCAAGACCAATAGTAATCCCAACAAGAAAAATGGGACTCTCTCTGTGTGTATGTGTGTGTGAGAGAGAAAGAGAGTAAGAGAGAGAGAATGAGAGCCAGAAAGACACACACGCACACACACACACACCTCCCCATTAAGGTTTACATAATCAGTAATTTCCTCCACAATTTTCAGCCAACTCTCTCCCAACTCAACTCTCAAGTTCTAATGGGCAAGTCCCAGGAACATAGTATGTCCTAAATCCTCCTGCCTGAGGGCAGGCTTCCCTAGGGCAAACAAGAGGAGAGAGGTGTCTAGTCCTGGGTGCCCCAAGCTCTGCAATGGGGCTGGCTGCCATCAACACCTTGGATGCTGTTCTACAGGCACCTTCCCAGGTGATAAACTCAATCATGTATTCCAATTGACTCTTACAGCTGTAAGAATGCAGCCATTTTTCCCCAAAGAAAGGCTTAGCTGAGAAACCTGGGGGATATCCAGAGTGTGTCCTTTGTGCACAAGATTCTAGAAGTCCCTTTCTAACCTATCCCCCTCATGGACTCTTCTCTATGAAGTTTTCTCCAACCTTCTCCTAACGCTGATGTTGCAGTAGATTCTGAAGAGAGAACAACCATGTTCTGGACAGCCCTGCGAAGGCTGGCTTCCCTCCAAAGACCTGAGCACCGCAAGGCCTTTGGCAGGAGAGAGAAAGGTGGTCCGATGCCTAAAGATCCAGTGGCTCACGGTGGCCTCCTCAGGCACTGCGCCCTGCTATGTGGCGGGAGGTGGTGACCCATGGTGCAGGAGGGGAGACGCTTACCCACTGAAGTCACTGCCCTGGGCTTGGGCCTGCCCAGCGATGGCGTCCATGATGGCATCCTGGGAGTACATGCTGATGGGCGTGTTGTATTGAGCGTGGATGATGGTGGCCTTGCCTCCCAGTCCTTTCACCTCAATGGGCTTGTGGGTCGACAGGGCCGAGTCCTTCAGGGCACTGGGGTTGAAGCGTTCCTGGTAGTCGGCGCTGGGGGGAGGGGTGTGTGAGGAGCAGGATGAGAGGGGTGTGGGGAGGAGGAGGAAGGAGAAAAGAGCCATAGGGGGTGGTTACATGGAAGGTCCCTCATAAGGATTGCTGTTGGTTGGGTGTGAGAGATCTCCCAAAGCTGAGGCCTTGACTCCCAAGTGGGCTCCCCAACTCCCACCGACTGTGGGCCAAACTGGTCTGGTTTGGAAAAAATCCTCAGCCCACCCCACCCTCAAAGCCTTTTGAAGAAGGTTTTTCATGACGATTTCACCTCTCCCAGGTGTCCTACAGTCCCAGGCTCAGCCTGAGCTACTGCCTAGGGGCAGCAGGGGGCGCCAGGCATTGAGCGATCTCTTGCCACACACAGCCAGGAAGCGCAAAGGGCTGGGAGAAATAAGGGATAGGGGGAGGCGAAGGAGCTGGCCCACACACAAGAGGCAGTTGGAAGCCCAAGTGCAGCGATCTTCAAAGGCAAGAAACGACCCCATTGGGTGCGCCCACAGGGATTCTGAACGAAGCTCCTCCATGAAGGGGTTGGTACTCGTAGCATTGGGTTCTGCTCCTCAGCTGTTTTGATGTATGCATCTTCTTCCTTGGAGCTCCTCGGAGCATGGCTCAGGCCCCAATCTAGCTGGTTGTGTTGTCCAAGGAGAGTCGTGGCAGCCTCTTCGGAGAGTCCCGCCCAGGCAGAAGAAATGTTCTCCAGGCTCACCCAGAACATGGTTTCAGCATGGCGCTCCACCCACTACCCATCAAAGCCAGCCTGCAGTCTTAAGCAGATGCAGCAGGACATTGGGAACTAGATGGCTGCCTCATCAGATGGAGCCCACCACCCTCGGGTGTGCTCCAGACTGGCAGCTTCCCTCACATGCAGGCTCATCAGGGACACATCTGCACTCCACTCACGTGTGCACATACATGGACACATGCAAACACAGGCTCACAGCTGTTCACACCAGACCCACAGGCACATGCTTGGATATGCTGACTGCGCATACACATGCTTTCTTGATACTAACTTGGCTGGAGAGTTGGCTACCACCTGAAGGGGAGAGAAAGAGGAAACAAGAGGAAGCAATCAGAGCTAGAACCTGCCAGGGGTGAGAGCATTCGTTGTCCTCAGACGTTCATTGTGGTGGAGGCAAACAAAGCCAGCCGGAACTGGCTCTGGATGAGGACCAGAAGTGAGGGAGGGGGCAGTGTTTGGAGCCAGGAGCCAGACAATTGCCTGGAGACTCTCACTTTGGGTGAGAAATGATGACCACAGCAGCGTGTCCTCCTCAGGAACCTCCCACATGCTGACGGAGGTTTTCTTGTCCATCTTCAAAGGCACTCATAAGCCATATACCTGAAGCCCCTTTACCTCCCTAAAACCTGGTTGCAGGAGTGGAAGCTGGAATGCACAAAAGAACAGCTGTGGCTGCTAAGGGAAGGACCAAGGTTTCACATCCTCCTGGCCAGACAACAGCTCTGAACTTAGCTCGGTTTAGTTAGGCTGGGGAGTGGGTTGGATTCTGGCAGTTCTGCTCCCCTTAGCAGGAGTTGTGTGTGTAGGCTTACTCACTGCCCCAGGACCTGTTGTCTTTCTCTGTACAAGCAGTGAGGCAGGACTTCAGGATAGGGGACACTAGGGGAGAAGCTCTGGGTACAGGGCTTGCTGCAGGAAAGCAGCCCATAGAGGCAGCCCTGCTTAGATGCAACAAAGAAGGATCAGGAATCCCCTGTCCCACACTCTTATGTAAGAGAGAATATCCTGCAAGTCCTCCCTTTGGGGCAAGTATTGCCTGCATCATGCTTCTTCAAATGCAAATTCCCTGCAACAGCACACCCTGACAGTGCCTGTGTTGTGGTTAGAACCCTAAGGGGGAAGGAGAGTGGAAGGTGGAAGCTCTGCCCCCAAATTCTGGCACCTCTCCAGATCTGCCCACCTACTGTAGCCTTTGGCTAGGCAAGCCTGAGTTCCAGATGGTCTGGCTCTGCCATCTCTCAAGTCAGGACCCTGGGGATCCAGGGCAAAGCCAGGAAGGGGCCACCAGCCCAGATAGCCTTGCAGTGGCCCTACTGAGCTCTAGGCCTGCTACCATCTTGTTGTTGTTGTTGTTACGTGCTGTCGAGTCGGACCCGACTCATAGCGACCCCTCCTTGGGTTTCCGAGGCAGTATCACTACAGAAGTAGATTGTCCCATCTTCCTTCTAAGGAGTGGCTGGTGGATTTGTACCACCAGCATTCTGGTTAGCAGTCAAGTGCCTTATGCACTATGCTACCATCTTAGAGCTGATAAAATTCCATGTCCTCCCAGGCTCAAAATAGCTGTGAGTGGAGTTATATTAGGAAAGGGCCAGGCAGGCGCAGAGCTTCCATTCCTTCTCCATTTTTGTCTACTGCTGACAACTGCAGGGTCAGCTCTTGCCCTGACCAGCCCACTGCCCCCTGCAGAGGGCTGTGTTGGCCTCAGAGGTTGCATCTGTCCTTCCCTGGGCAAAAATCTCCTTCTAACCAGGCACCCAGGTTGACAATGATTCCTGCCCCTGCTCAGCTTCTCCTTGAGGACCTAGAGCTTATGATGCAGCAGCCACAGCTCAGGGAGGAGGCAATGCTCATGTCTCAGGAAGGATGAACCAGAGATGCAAGAAATGCCCTAGGCGCCCTTGCACCAAGTGGCCCAAGAGACACTGTCCTCCAGTTCCAGTCCCAGTGAGGACGGAGGAGTTCTCCACTCCTCCTACAAGGATAACAAGCTGTGAGTGGAATCATTGCAAGATGCCCAGAGGAAAATGTAGGGGAAGGTGCTTCCCGTTGAAGCCACATAGAGCAGAGTTCAAATCCTGACACTGCCTCTTTCTAGTGCTGTGACTGGACAAGTCATCTTCTTTCATCTCAGCTTCAGTTTTCTCATTCATGAAACTGAGATGACAATGTCCATCTGACAGTTCAGACCAAATGTATCCAGAGTATAAACCACTTAGTTTGGTAAGTGTGAAGTGCATAGACATGATGATTAGCATTTGTTGACCCTGTGGCCTGTGACCCTGATGATCTGTGTCCCTTAACTAAGGAGGTGGCCTCAGCTCAGCAGAAGCTGTGCTGGGCTAGCCTAGCCAGCATTGCTCCAGAACAGGAACTACATTCAGCGGCAACCAACTTTCACTTGGGGTGAGCACCACCATCTTCTTTCCCCAGCTCACCTGCCCTTGGAGGGAAGTTATTGGACCCTGCTGCTCTGAGTGTCAAGTAATAATTTGTATACTTGTCGGGTTCTGGGAAACCTCTCACCAGCAGAAGAGTACTTCAGAGTCGTGAGACTTTCCCAAGCAGTTTGGTAGGTCCTGTCTCAATGTAGAATTGAGTCAGACAGACTCAGGTGCTAGCTGTGCAACCTTGAACAAACAAATCAAGTTCTCTGAGCTTCTATTTCTTAGCTGCAAAATGGGGAAGATATCTGTTTCTGAGGTTTCTGAGAGTTGTGTTGGATAAAACTTGTGAATTGCTTAGCTGGCCCCTAGCCCAAAGTGAGGGCTCAGTAAGGGGAGACATTACCATCACTGCCTCATGGGAGTCCCAGTCCACCCAGGGAGACCTCCCTTCCTAGGCCCATTTTCAAAGAAGATCAGGAAGAGCTTCTATTCCATCAAAGGAGGCTATTTCTGTTCCACCATCCCCTGAGTTCACTGGCAAAAGCCCTTTATGGCCTGGAGAAGACAGTGGGATGGGGGTAATATGGCTCTACCACGTTGAGTGAAGGAAATCAAGAGCCTAGATTCTCAGGCCATGACATGTCGGAGACCAGTTTTACTCAGGTACCATGAAGAGCTAAGAGAACTGGAGAAGCTGGGGCATCTACATGGGAGCAGGGGCCTGGGGGCACAGGTGCCTTCTGCAGCCATGGCAGAGGGAAGGGTGTGGGCCAGACTGAACTAGATTCAAATTCTGGCATGAGGTCATGTAGGTTCCAGACAATAGCTCCAAGCTTTACTCATGCTGAATCCTTACTATAACCTGTGACATGGACAATGTGATTGTACCAGTTGTACAGACAAGGAACCTGAACCCCTAACCACTATGCTGTAGTGCCTTAACTCTGCCTGTTCTGCCTCTCAAAAACAGAGATCATTATAAAATTGCCCAGGCTGTGTTGGGGATTAAAATAAGATAACAAGTGAGATGTGCTCAGCCCCAGTACGACTTCCCAGTTCCATGTTCTTTTCATTCCTGTGCTCACAGAGTCCCCAAGCTAGACGACAGGGTGAGGGTGCTGTAAGGGCTGCTCTGTTCCTCCATAACCCCTTTCCCCTTGGGGATCTGCTGCTTTGCTGCCCCACCCTGGCCTGCAACTTGCTCTCCTCTCCTAACACTCAGGCGCTCCTCTTCCAGGAACTTTCCCAGACCTTTCCCAGCTGTAGAGAATTCACCCTCCTACCTCTCTAGTTCTTTCCTGCTTCTGCCTCAGGGCTCCCAGAGGGCAAGGACCAGCATGTCCCTTTCCCTATAGCTCCTGGGGACAGCAGGCTATGTTGTCATGTTCTGAGGGGTAGCCTGATATGTCAGTTTTGGGAGTCAGTCTCCTACATTCAAATTCTGATTTGGCCATTAATAGCTGGAAGCTGGACCACAACTTAACCTTGTCTGAGCCTTAATTTCCATATCTGGAAAATCTCATATGCTACCCTGAGGGTGACTGAGTAAAGCAATGATGGGTTCACCCATAGCAAAGGCCAAGAAGGGACCATGGCTTTCATTCCTTTCAGCCTGCACTGCCTCAAGGGCTTGGGGGTGCCTGGATGGGGCCAGCTCCTGGCTCTGACCCCTAGACCAGGCCTCTGCAGAGCACTGAAGACCCAGGTTGCCATAAGCACTGTGGAGAGCTGTACACCCATATTACCTACCCTCCTGGGAGTCCAGTACATGAGGCCTTCCCTCGGAGGCTCAGCTGATACATCTGAGCCATCTCTCTCAGGGTCTCTGCTGAGTACAGGCCAATAGGGTTGTTATACTGCTTTGGCTGTCTCGAGCCCAGTGGGATTTTTGGGCTCTCTGGGCTGGTCTTGGCCCCCAGGCTGCCCCATGGAGGGGAGGGGTCAGAGGCCTCCATGTGGGAGAAGACAGAGGTCTGGGAGAAGGAGGAGCTCAAGTTCTGCCTGAGCTCCGTTGTGACTGGGTTGCCTAGGCTGGCCGGTGCCTCAGGGCTGGGGCTGGGCACCACCAGACTGCCGTTCATGTCCAGAGCAGGGTCCTGGCACAGGGCAGCACCATGCAGGGGAGAGAGAAGAGAGTGTTAGAGAGGTGCATACCTGAAACAGAGGTGTTAGTGTGAGCTCCCAGCAGCCCCCCACCCCCTCCTGCAGCTTGGAGCCCCTGCACAGAGCTGAGAGGGGTCAGACAGGCACCTGGAAGAAAGGGCTTTGAGAGAGGAACAAGAGTAGCACCAGCTTCTGGGCCCCCCAGTGTATTTACCTGGGCAAAAAGCAAAGCCCTGCATAGAAAGCCAAGCCAAGCCTGCCTATGGGGCCAGAGGAAGACAGGTATGAGGCTTAGAGGGTGGTACGGTGTCACCTCCATCCTATGTCAGCTCACCCCACTCTGAGATGCCCCCATATAGCTGGTGAGAGGTCCTGAGACTTGTCTCCCCTCTATTGGGGAAACTATGCATCCTGAACTGCCGGGCTGACTGTGAACTGGTAGAGTGGAGGGGAGGATAAGGAAGTAGCTGGGCTGGCATTTCGTTTCCTTAGTGCATGTCTGCAATGTCTCCCAAGCAGCCTTCTGCTCAGTTTCCCAAAATGTTACCTATTCCAAACTCCAAGTCAACCTCTCTTTCCCTCTGTTAAGTCTATCTGCCCAGGTGGTGGCCCAGGGAACCACTCATCTCTTCTCCCTTCTCTCCAGCCACCCATGGTTCACTCATACCCCACTCAAAGATCAAGTCAGTCTGATGTCACACAGGCAGGGGCCATGGGAGGAACTCCCATGCATGGGGTTGAGCCCTTTGCGTCTGTAGGATTGGGCTGCTTGGCCAAAACAGGGAGGGGCATGGGGCTGGTGGTGAGATCCTGAGTCCAGGGCTCCACCTCCTCTCCTATGCTTGCCTCTGTGGCCACCATCAGTACTGCTGAGGGGGCCATAGGGACATGTACTGCAAATGTCCATTTTGGGGCTAGGGAGGGAAGCTTGAGGGGCAGGTGGGGAAATGGTAATCAGAGGGAGAGATCCATGGTGGAGGAGAAACCCCTTGGGCCAGTAGGCTCCTATGTGTCTGGTGTCTCCCTTGAGGTGGCTGGCTCAATCTGGGGCCTATAAATTTCCATGCCCTTCATGCCAATCCCTGCCCAGCCCCCTCAGGTAGATGAAGGTCAGAGCCTTCTGGATGCTTGTACCCCATGGCTAGGAGGATGACCAGCCCAAGCTAGTTTTCCATTAGCTCAATCATGAGGCCTGAGGGTGGCAGTAGGACTTAGGCCGGTACTCCCTACACTCTGTTTTTTGAGGGGTCGAACACCCTCTCCCTGCAGGACTACTCCACCTCCCAGGGTTAGCCAAGGTGGGGATAGGAGGCAGGCAGGGCAGATGCCACTTCCTCACCCAGTTGGGCCAGCCAAGGGGCTGGGCCAGGCAGGCCGGGATCTCAGCTGAGAATAGACCCTCCTGCCACTGGAAGTCAGCACCTACCTTCTGGTGGGGTATCACCGGCAGAGGGGACTGGATTGGAGGTGTTGCCGTGGAGATGGGAATGGGGCGCTTCGACCTGGAGAAGCCAGAAATGGGACCAAGTGAGAACAGTGGCTCCAGGGACCAGGGACTCCCTTACCTGGGTGAGGTTGGTGAGGGAAACAAGTGAGAACTGGGCAACAAGGTCAGGGGTCCTGAGGTCCACTGTCTACTCCCATGGCCAAGGTCCTCCCTGCAAGGCACTGGGCCTGGCCATGACTGAGATGGCAGTGCCACAAGGTCTTTTGGCCTGCACTTATGGGCCTCTGCTAACTTCTTGGGAGGTTGCCTGGGGATAGTAGAAGATAGAATATGGGCTTTGGAGTCAGAAAACCTTCCTTCCAGGCCCCAGCTGACCCCTTACCATGGATGTAGCCCTGGCTCATCTTCTCTGAGCCTCATATGTAAAGTGAGGCAGTAATGGCTACTTTTAGACACTGACAGAGCAGGTGCTTGACAACGACTTGAGCTTGGTCCTTCCTCTGGTACTTACCTCCATGTACATCCTTTAGCACAGGGCTGCCCATGTAATTGCTGCTGGACAATCTCTCCCTTGCCCTCCGGGTAGCCCCCCAAACCCTCCCAACCTTCACTGCTCGAAAGAGTTGTGACCTACTTTTGCAGGGTGAGACTTAGATTGTAGCTGGCTGACTTGATCTTGTTCTGGGCCTCCAGGTGGGTCATAGTATCTGTGTTGACACCATCAATGGCCACCACAAGGTCACCTTGGCTGAGCTGGGACTGGGCTGCCTTGCTGCCTGGTGTGATCTAAGAAGGCAGGAGAAGGGGAATGAGCTTATGTGAAGAAGACTGAGCTGGTCCTCAGGGGAGAAACCTGTTCATTGTCTTTCATTCACTGTGACCAGTAGTGGCTGCTTCTAGCTAGCTTCTAGCTGCTTCTCTTCCTGGCACATGGCTGTCCCACATTTCCCAGGACTTGTATTTAGTGGCCAGCACTGGCCAGTGGAATGTGGTGGAAGCAGTGCACATCACTTCCAAGTCTGCTTGTGGTCCTGTAATCATCTGCATGCTCGGCTTGTCAGTTGACTGCAGAGGACCCAGAGGAGGACAGTGGAACCAGGAACCAGAAGGGGCTTGCTTCCTGGAGCAACTGCTTGAAAGAGAGATGACTTGCAGAGCAATCCCACTGCACCTTGTAGGAGTGAGAAATAAATTTTTCTTGTGCTAGACCATTGAGATTTAGGGGCTATTTGTTATGTCAGTTAGCCTACTCTAACAGCTTCACCTGGCACACTTGTGGAGCACTTTCTAGGCTCTAGGAAGGAGGGAAGACTCAGCACTATCCTAGGGATGTTTTTGGGCTAGCAGGCAGGAGAAATGCACCTATGTATTTACTGCATCATAGTGCAAATATTTAGTGCTACTACCATCAAAGGTGGGCAGAGGGCTGGGGGAACCCTTAGCTTTGCCTGGGGGGAGCAGTAAGCTTCATAGACAAGAGTAGGGTTAACTGGGAAATGGGGTAGGGTTTGGTGCTCAGTGGTCACTTCATACTTCCAGAAAGGGGAATTCAGGTGTGGGGGCCAGTTCCCAAATCCTGCACCCCAATGACATCCAAAATATTAGAATCCGTAGGCCCAGTCCCCTCACACAGAATGCCACAGAGATTTGACTCCAGGAATGTCTAGGGAATGTCAAGAAGACCTTGCCCTCAGGGACATTATCTAGTATGTCACAGTGACTCAGACTCTAGTCTTAGTGCCATCACACACAATGCATGCCCTGCCCCCCGGGTAATATCATGCTGAATGCTATAGTTACCCATCCCACGGTTATATCACTAAACAACCAAACAAACATACTACCATCAAGTCAGACTCTACTCATAGCGACCCTTCCTTGGGTTTCCGAGTGGTCACTATGGAAGTAGATTGCCCAAACTTCTTTCCGAGGAGTGGCTGGTGGGTTTGAACCACCCAGTCTTCTGGTTCGCCGTCAAATGCCTTAGGGACTATGCCACCAGAGCTCCCAGTGATATCACAGGAAATGCAAAATTCTAGCAGGCCTAGTGATATCACTTAAAATGACTTGAACTATCCTAGTGTCATTACGTGGAATGTGATGAAGCCCTACCTCTCAAGATAGCTCATGGTATGTCACTCCCCGCCCCACCTCATGGTATCATGTGGAATGCCATGGGGGCCCTGTACTCTGTTGACATCACATAAAATGACTTTATGACCTGACCCTGTGACATTACGTGGAGGCCCCCCCAACCCATGACATTATGTGGAAGGCCATAGAGGTCCTGGTTCCAGTGACATCATAGGAAAGAAGAGCCTCTGGGAGCCCACCCCCCAGCTGTGATTGGAGGGTATCCCTTGGCTTTTCCTCTCCAACATGCCCACCAGCCAGTTCTAGCTTCTCTGGAGCATATCCCAGTCACCTTCCAGGCTACACCCTAGAGACAAGCCCAGCTCTTAGCACTGGCAGAAGCCAGATTGTGGCTAAAGTGTGGGACCATCATAGGAGGAGCCCAGAGAGGACCTAGGATCATCCCATGCCCCAGGTGCCAAGCCTGGGTTGGCTTCTGGCCAGGCTATGGGCTTGTAGATGCATTGCTGGAAGCCTCCTGTCAGGCCCTTTCCTAGGGAACTCCCACCCTTGGTGATACTGGGCCTGGGCCAACCCAGGATACCCTACAATCTCCAGTTCATCACAGATCTGCTCCAGAGGGTGGTTCAGGGACTGAATGGTTCCTGTTTAACTGTACTACCTGTCACAGAAACACTGTCCTACACTACACTAGTGATAACAATAAGAGCAGTAGAACCCTTGTCAATCACATTGACCAGCTATGTCAGCCCCAGGGACTTCTTAAACACTGGCCATGTGTACTCAGAGTCCCACAGTCCCAAATCCACTGAGAGAGGGCAGGGACGATGGAGAAATACCAAGGATGCCAGGAAGCTACATCATCTGATTTGCAAAGTCCAGAATGCTCTCAGGCTCACGTGGCAACATCTTAGAACAACCTGGGACTTTTCAAAATACACATAGCTCTTACCCACAATTTCACTGCCATAGAGAGCCTCTCTCCACTAATGACAGAAGTGTTTCTTTCCAATGTAGGGATTAAACAAAGTTTTAAAAAACAAAACAAAACAGTACATTTTTCTAGATTGAGGGGAGCTTCCTGAAGGCAACTTGAGTTGCCCAGCCAGCCTACCCTGTAGAAAATTGCCTTTCCTTACACCTCTGTCTTCACATTTGTTGTTGTTCTGTGCTGTCGAATTGGGCCTGACTCATAGCGACCCCTCCTTGGGTTGCCAAGGCAGTATCCCTATGGAAGTAGATTGTCCAACCTTCCTTCTGAGAAATGGCTGGTGGGTTTGAACCGCCAGCCTTCTGGTTAGCAGTTAAGTGCCTTAGGTACTATGCTACCAGAGTTGTTATCCCCAACATTTTATTATAAACATTTTCAGACTGAAAAAAGCTGAAAGAATTTCACAGTGAACACCTAAATTCCTACCAACATGATTCTACTATAACATTTTATGGAACTTGCTTTATCATACATCTGTCCCTCTATCCTTCTATCCATCCATCCACCTTATTTTTTAAGCATTTCAGAGAAAATTGCAGACATCGGTATGTTTCCATTCAAGGTAAATTTTGAAGTGGCTCTATTGTCCTAAGGAGCACTGGTGGTGCAGTGCCTAAGACATTTGACTCCTAACCAGAAGGTTGATGGCTCAAACCCACCACCTGCTCTGCAGAAGGAAGATGAAGCAATCTACTTCCTTGAAGATTTACTGCCTTGGAAACCCAATGGGGGTCACTATGAGTAGGAATTAACTCTCGACTCTATGGCAGTGGGTTTGGGTTTTAGTTTTCTATTGTCCTGTTGGACTGCCTGCAGAGCTCTCCCACAGCAAAGCTCCCCTCAAGTAGCTCCCAGGAGGGCTCCTCCCAGATGCTTCCAACTACCTACAAAGCAGGGTATGTCTGCAGCAGGAAACTTCTGTGTGTGGGGCAGCTGCAGACTCCAGACAGAAGGGCTGGGACTGGGGCCTATGAAGGTGATGTCCTCCAGGCAGGATGTAGGTTGTGCCCAGATCATGGATGATGCTGTAAGCAAGGATACCAGACATCCAAGGGAGGCTGGGGCCAGAGCCACTAGGGTAAGTGCAGGACATCTGAAATGTCCTTCTTTCAAGCTGCCTCAAAAATATCTCTCCCCCCACTTAGGCTTGGCCCGGTTAATGACAGTTCTTCTGGATGGATTTCTGGCTCTTGCCCTTACCTGGTCCTGCCTTGTTCCCCCTTATCCTCTGGTGTGGTCTTCAATAATTCTTATTGCTGGGGGAGAGCTCACCTTCCCCTGGGCCTGGTCAGCAGTCAGACAGTCCAGTGGGGATCCTCCATGCTGGCCCCTGGTGTGCTCTCCCAGCACCTGCCTCTGCTTGTCAGGGCTCAGCTGGCCAGGCTTTTGGCTGCCCTGGGCAGGGCTCAAGATCCCTCAGGTGGGGGCAGGGATGCTGATATCCCTTTTCAGTGATAGACTCCTCTAGTTCTGTTTAGGTCTCCTTAGAGCAGGAGGCAGGTGCCTTAAGAAGGTTGCTCAGCAGCCAGGCCAAAGACCATCAATCAGGTCCCTTTCCCCCACAGCAGGACCAGCCTGCCCAGAACTTCATGACAGCATCAGGGCAGGGATGACATATCGAAGTATCTCACCTGTTTATTCCCTTGTTCCCCATTACCTTGTTCCAGAAAGGACTCAAGGTGGCTAAATCCTTGGAGTTTTTTTTTCTTTTTTTTTTAATTGTATCTTCTCCTGGACATTGAGAAGCTCTTTCCTATGAACAGCCCTCATTCATCGGGAATCTACCCTGGGCAGAACCCAGAGACCCCTGATATCCCATCTTCCCAGGACAGGCTCAGTTTCCTGGCCTGAAGGAGTCCCTCTGCCTTGTTGGACTGTGGTCTCAGGGCATCCCAGAGAGGGGAACACAGGAGTGGCTGGGTGCCAAGGAGCACCAGTGGCCAAAGCTACTTGAGAGTGCCTGGGAGGGAGGCAGCAAACAGTAAGAGCATGGATTTTGGTATAAGCCCAATGTAAGGGTCTAGTTTCAGTCTCCATGTCCTTAAGTGTAAATAGTGCGACAATGCCTTTCCCTGGGATTATTGTGAGGATTATGTTATTAAATAGGGATTATGTAAGGAGAGTGCAGAGCTGAGAAAATTTTAGGCAAGTTCTAAACCAAAGAGGCCCTAAGTATAGATGCTGACCCTGGCCCTTTCCCAGGAAGTGCCAGAGGGGCTGAGGTTGGCAGGCCACATCCTCTGGTGCTGCCATATATGGGGTCCCCTGAGGAAGCTGGGTATCATGGTGGAAGGAAGAGAAGTTCTGACCCAGGGAAACAAGGCACCAAATGGGCTCCAGTTGTACCAAGCCATAGGCTCCTACTTCCTCACTCCTCTGGCAGCAAGAAGGGCAGCTGGATTCTGCGAACAGCTCTGGCCATCACCCCTATCAGCCCTCTAGGGTCTTTGGGCCAGTAATCCATTGCCAGATAGGCCTCAGACAGAATTCCTTCCCCTTTAGATCTTCCAGTGTAGGGTTATGGAGAGAAGAGGACGGCAGGTAGTAGATGCTTATGATGAAGGGTGTGACTTCTAGAATCTCTTCCTCCCAACCCTCTAGGCTGACCACCTCAGGTACTTCCCTGGGAGCCCTAAGTGAAAATGCATTTTAACATTGAATGATTGAATTACTGGCACAGCTGTGTTTACTCCCTTCCCAT